CCCCAAAACCCCAAAACCCCAAAACCCCAAAACCCCTTAAAATTTTCAATAATTGAAATAAAATAAGAAAATCATGGTAAGTTAGGATCTTCGATATTCTCTTCAAGCAGAGTTGTCAATAGGATTGTTGTATAATTATATATAGAAGCCGAGTAAGCTCAAATCCATGAACACGCTGACTTCCAACACCCCCTTCACAAATGAAGTCCTTAGTGTGTTAGGAAGCAAAGCTAGAGGAAATGCTCAGGTATGGGTTATGAATAAAGCTTAAGAAAATTTTATCAAAATCAGTTGAAAAGGACTTCATTGTAAGGATCAGAGATGAATCAAACAAGTAATTAAAGCATCTATAATGTATAGACAAACCGATAAAATCTTGATCAAACCAGGGCAAGGAGATTCACTAAGTACGTTATAGAAGCTCTATTTCTCATTTTTATATTAGAGAGATATAAGGCAGCATCTTTGGTCAAGACTAAGCCTATTAAGAAAGTATTGAATGAGAAATTGAGCAGACAGCAATCTAGAGAAAAGCACACCTCTTTTATGCACACCAAAACTGCTCAGGATTATAGTCATGGGATTAGGAAAGAAATTGAGGATACGAGTGATAATCTGAACGTCACTGGATTTAACCGCATTGCAAAGGATGAAAGTAAGGATGATAAAATAGATGACCAAAAGACTCTGAAGCAGAAAATATTAACCCAGATTCATAAATCAAGACAACCTCGGGTCAATACGAACCAATACTCTAGTGATGCACATCAAAGTTTAATAGCTAATAAGGGATCTTTGATTTCGTCAAGGGAGAATTTTAAAAAGGAAACAAAGTCTAGCTCCTTTACTCGAAACAGTAAGACTCATCTTGATTTCTAGACAACCCTTTCTCTCTAATCGGGTCAAAGAAGCCAATGACTCAGAAAGAAAACATGCAGATTAAGTTGAATGGCAGAAACATTAAGTTGTCCACAACTTTAACAAAATAAGTCTCATATTTGTTCGAGGTTCATAAAGAGAGGAAATAAGCCAATTATGTGGTGTAGAGAGACCAACGATAATAATATAAAGTACCATAATAAGAAAAGGTAATCAGTTCTGATAATTTATAGACGCACTAAGAATGGGACTCTCTGGGTTAGGAGGCCTAAAACTCCTCCCTCGTACAATCTCTCAAACAAGGATCTTCCGGAAATGGATCGGAAAGTAGAGATAATCAAGACAAAAATCAAAGAAGAGTCTAAAAGGCAGATCATAAAGAATACCAGAAGTCCCAAATAAAGAGGAAGAATTTAAGAAGGCTCTATCCAAAATTTCAAAGCCTGAAATGAAAATTTTATCTAAAAATAAACGCATTGATATTGAGTTCTCAAAGCCTCTCTCTAAGCTATACAGTAATATGTTGTCAACAAGCTATAGTCTCCAAGAATCTCAAAGTTGAGGTATCCCCATTAGTGTGAAAAGGACCAAATGAGGTCAGAGTAAGGAGGAGCTTAACCCATAGTCTGTTGCGTCTAATAAATGGAAGGAGAAAATGGATAATTTCTACCAGAGGGTCAGAAATAATTATAATTCATCCAATTCTACTAGTAAAATATTTGCCAGCCCTATATAATACTTCATAGAGTGCCAAAAGAGCAGGAATCAATATAAGAATTTCTTGACAGAAAAAATCAAGATTAATAAGATGGACCAAAATTTAGCATTCTGGGATTTCCAAGATCATTTTGGGACAGGGAGATCCCTCCTTGACTTGACTCCTTCAGAGCTAAAATACTACAGAATGGAGTATGGTGAAAATGCAGTATCTCAAGGATATCTTTGTGCAAAGGTATGTTTTGGAAGAACTCCTCTTAGATGAACAAAAGACATAGTGTTAAATCAACAGTCGACTCAAGAAGGCTCAAAATGATCAACACAGGATTTAGCAAGGAAATGTTTACCAATAGTGCTTTGTCTAGAACTAGGATAAACTTCATTAAAAATGAGGTTAAGACTATTGAGTCTGCTCATAGATCCAACACTCTGTTGCCAATATCCCTATACAATTCAAAGATGTTAGAAGGATACAAGTTAATTGTAAGAACTTACTTCTCAAAATAGGACAATGAGTTTGAATTTAAAGGAAACTACTACCTCGAGATTGATCACTACGATTCCTTGCTAGACCTTCTTTACTCTGTAGTTGAGCAACTTTGAGAAAAGAAAGAGGTCAAAGGTAAGCAAATTTGATATTTTTAGGAGTCATGAATAATCTCAAAATATTCTACAGCTACAATAAGAACAGCTTCATCTGTCTGTTTGGACAAAAGCATAATAAAATATCTCCTTGTTGAAGATTGCCAATGTATATGACATTTTCAGTGGTATTTGGATTAAGAATGCAGTGAGTAGATAAGTAAGCAAAATTTTACTCAACAATAGGTACTGCTCCAACAACCCAGTTTACAAGTCAACTTTTCATGAAGAACAAGTAGCACAACTAAACACTATTTCTCAAATTTTCATTGACCAAGAGAATACTCATAAGGAAGAAGATCAAGAAGACCAGTGAATTTCAATTCTTTTAAAGGACTCTAATTTACCAACCTCAGCATTTTCGTTTACAAGAGGAATGTCTCAAGAGACCATTAAGAGCGAGCAGAAAGATTATCTGTCTCAGTATGTGAGCAAGAAAGTTAAAGGTGGAGAGCATAAGCATTCTTCACTGAGAGATATCAACTACATGTAACTAATATACAATGAATAGTTTCAATACTCATTAAAGTAAGTGGGGTTTTGGGGTTTTGGGGTTTTGGGGTTTTGGGG